GATTGATTTCATATAATCTTTGATGTATTTCTCGTAGGCCTCTTTTGTGAAGCTGGCTTCCTGCAAGCGATGGTTCACTACAATATCTACACCAGTGACTGCTGTGCTTTCGGTGCCTGCGCCCTCTGGGCCTTCAGCGGAGGCCCTGCCACCAATGAGCGCGTCGTCAGGGGCACCCTCTGTTCTACTGACCATCTTGCCCTCCACCTCCAGGCACAGCCCGTCCGCGATCTCCCCGATCTTGTAAATGTCGGAGAACATCTCATCGTGGCTGATGAGGTCCCGGTAGATAATCATGATGGTGGCTGAGGGAGGTGGCGGCCACGCAAGCTTAGCAGGAGCTGGGAGCTCAGAGCGAGCGCGGTGCAGCCGAGCGGCGCTGGGGGGGGGGCGGGGAGCGGGCGGAAAAGGCCGACTCAGCCGCTCCCCAACCTCATATAGAGGGCCAACAAAAATTTAACATTATTCTGTTTGGGTATTTTTAAAGGGTAAGAATTTAATACACTACTTCCTTTACCCTGATTTTCTTGTACAGGGTGGACTCCACTGTGTAATCCACATGACTAAAGCAGGCCCTGGCGCTCCAACCCCATGGTAGGTCGGAAGCTTAGATGACCCTGGGCCACTGGATCTTGGCTACTACAAGAAGATTTTAAAACTAATTCTCTGAATCTGACAAGCCGTCTCCCTCAATAAGTCTAGGAAGTTATTTCATTAGTTGTGCATGAAGTGTCAGGCAAATGGCCAGATGTGCAACCCAGGGAGGTAAAACTAGAATTGTCACATATACACTTAAAAACCAAAAATTTTCTTTTATTATGATCCACTACTTTTAATTCTATTCTTTTTTTTTTTTCCTCCCGGAACTGGGGATTGAACTCAGGGCCTTGTGCTCACCAGGAAGCGCTTATTCTACTGAGCCATCTCCCCAGCCCCTCTATTCTTATTTTTAAGGAAAACAAATCATTTATATAACTGAAAGGAAGAACGCTAAATGAACATTTTGTGGTTCTATAAGATTCCAAGAATCAGGCATGGTGGCCACATACCTGTAAATACAAGCCAAATGCCTATAATCCCAGCACTGAGCAAGACTGAGGCAGGAGGATGGCAAGTTCAAAAGCCACATGGGCAACTCAGGGAGAAGCTGTCTCAGCAGGGCAGGGTGGAATACAGGGGTGTAATTTGGTAGTACAGTGTCCCTGGGTTCACTTACCAGTACGGGGGGAGGGGAAAGAGGGGAATTTCAAGAAGAGAAATTCAATTACACGGAAATAACAACTTAACATGGATTGATTTAAAGGAGACACTCAGGGCCAGTGAGATAACTCAATGGTCTAAAGCGCCTGCTTAGGCAAGCTTAGGCAGGCACAGGGGACTGTGGTTCAATCCCTGATACCGTATTTCACGCCAGCCCCACCTTCAAGGTGGGCTGAGCTAGCCTAAATAAATAAATAAATAAATAGGAGACACTCAATACTTAACTTACTCAAAACAAAATTTCTGCTAACTTAATAGTCAATGTTACCAAATAAGGATTTTTATTTTCTTCAAATGTGTATTAAGAACCTACCACATGCCAAGCAATACACTGGATCCTGAGGATTCCAAAGAATGTAATTCCCACCCCTTTAGACACACAGTTTAGCAAAGCAAAGGTACAGGTAAATAATTATAGTTCCATATAATAATAAAATCTATGACATGAGCACAAGGTGTTATCAAAGCGCAGGATGGACAATTTAATCAGCATTAGTTCTTAGCTTCTCAGGAAACTTCCCATCACCTTCCTAGAGAAGAGCCGATCCTTTCACAGATCTTACCAGTTCTTTGGGAATCAAGGAATACAACACTTTCCCTATGTAGTATTATTTATGTTCATGGCAATGACTTTTACTCAGTACTAGTCAAAGATTACTGAACCACAGACACGGCATAAAAAAGCACTTATTGGAAACCTCAATCTATTTGTCAAAATTACACATGGTCTAACTGCAATGTGGTATTCTGGACTGAGTTCTGAGACAAAAAGAACAAGTGGAAAAATTTCTGAAATCCAAAAAAGTCTGCATTTAATAGTATCGTACCAATGTTAATTTCTTAGATGTGACAGATGTATCACGGTTATGTAACAAGTTATTAGGAGGAGCTGGATGAAAATGATCCAGGAACACTCTGTACTATCTTCCCAACTTTCCCTAAGTTTAAAATTCTTCCAAAATAAAAATTTTTCTTGCTTACATATGGTGCCTCACTTCACATTCTTATTCCCCTAGGCTAAAACATGAAAGAATCTTTTTCAGATCCTTTCTGTAATCTACCTGCACATCCCAGCTGAGATACCTTCTTCACCAAGACCTGGAAACTAGATTCCACCAGGGGCACACTCCTACAATCCCAGCACTCAGGAGGCTGAGGAGGGTCAGCCTGGGCTACACAGAGCTCAAGGCCAGCCTAAACTACACAGTGAGATTCTGTCTCAAAAAAAAATTTTTTTTTGAAGTTTATCAACATTATATAATTTCTAAGGGCCAGCCAGATAGCTCAGTAGATTAAAGCACCTGCAAGCAGGAGCGTGGGTGGGGGTGGGGTGGGGGGAGGATTTGATTCCCAGGTCTGCCATGCTGGACCTGCCCATAGGGCACACTGAGACAGCAACTGAGATTGGACATGGTGGCGCTCACCTGTAATCCCAGCACTTGGGAGGCTGTAAACAGGACAATCACTACAAGTCCGATCTAGTAGTGAGACCCTGAACACCCTGAGGACCCTTCCCTAAAAATACAGAAAAAAAAAAAGCAACCCATTATATAAGTTCTAAAATAATACAACTGTATCAAAGTACAACTGGCATAAATTTCCAGCTCTATTAGCTGGAAGGCACACAACACAAAATAACAGAAAACATTTGGATGGGCACAGGAGAAGGCTTAGTAGAATAAGCGCTTCCCTGGCAAGCGCAAGGGCCAAGTTCAATCCCTGGTTCTGGAAAAAAAAAAAAAAAAAGAAAGAAAGAAAAAATTTGGAGCGTTTACTTAGTGGTAGGCACTATTCTAAGGGCTTCATCTTTTAAATATGGGTATGATAACATGAGTCCTGATAACATGCCTGTAAGGATGTTAACATGTAAAATAGTCTCTATTTTACAGATGGAGAAAGCTGAGGCACAGATAAAGTCACCCCACTGTCATACAGCCAGTAAGAGGCAGAGAAGGAATTTTTAAATCCTCTGACCTATTACCCCAAAGTTCATGCTCATCATAACATCATCTTACAGTAGGAGTATACAATGGTCACCTTTTTCTTTTAACCTGTAACTTCTTCAGCTTCCAAACATTTTAGAACAGCATCAAGCAGTAAGAGGAACACAAGCAGGCAAGTCCGGATGTGTAGTTCAGTAGTAGATGGATAGTAAATATGAGGGAAGCCCTGGGGGTCTCTGGATTCTAGCCCACAGGATTAAATCCCCTCCCAAAAAACAGCACAAGCTTTGGGATCAAAGAAATTCCTCAACAGAGTCTAGGCTCAACATCCCCATACAAAAAAATAAGGCACTTAAGTTATTGTGAAAAATCAAAGAAAGCAGCTGTCATGGCTCATGCCTGTAATCACAGCACTGTAGGAAGCTGTGACTGCAGGACGGCCAAGTTCCAGCCTACCCTGAGGATTATACTAAGACCATCTTAACATAAATATAAAAAAGTGTTAGTGTGAAAGCTCAGTGTGAAAGCTCTGGGTTCAATTTCCAGGACAGGGGTAAAAAAAAAAAGTCAAGCGTATAATACAAAGTGCCAAATTCAATACACAGGGTAGAGTTCTATGGGGCTTTTTGGTTTGCTTGGGTTTTTTTTGTTTTGTTTTGTTTTTTGGTTTTTGGTTTTTTGTTTTGTTTTGTTTTGTTTTTGCGGAACCGGGGATTGAACTCAGGCCCTTGTGCTTGCCAGGCAAGCACTTATTCAACTGAGCCATCTCCCCAGCCCCTGCTTGTTCTTTAAATGACGGGCTCGTTTTGTAATTCAGGATGGACTTTAATTCGCCATGTAGCCCGGGCCTGCTTCCGACTTTCGGTGATCCTCCTGCCGCTGCCTCCGCGGCACAAGAGCACGGACTACAGGCGGGCACCTGTTTAGAATGGGGGTTCTTAATATGAAGTTTGCAGTCACCCAAAGGGTCCATAGATAGGCTTCACGGCCTACAAATCTTATCAACTGTATGACTGTGTATGTATATCGAGTTTTTAAAGAATTGTCCCTGGTTTTGCACAAATTTTCAAGACAATACAACTGATCTCCAAAAGGTTAAGAGCTACTACATTACATGGCAGGTCCTAAGATGAATAATAATAATAAACAACTATCTCTTGTTCTCAAAAATTCTCCCTTTTTCCTTCGAGGAAGGCACAACTGTGCAGGCTTCACAACTGTCACCACGTTTTCCTAGCTTGATACACAGCAACACACACAAGTTTGCTTGGTTTTATGTATTCGGCACAGGGTTTCACTTCCCATCTCGGCCTCCCCAGCGATCGCGCCGGCTCTCGCACCCAGCTCGGGGAGGCCGGGCGGGCGGGGCTGGCGGGGCCGCACGCCGCCGAGGGCGGACTCCCGGTACCTGCGCAGGACGAGCAGGCGCTCAGTGCGCTGAGCTATCTCGCCGGCCGTAACGTACGCAAGTGTATCCCTTAATCTTCTGGCGACAGCCGAGAGGTCCCACGCACTGCTTCACCTACCGCATCACCGAAACGAAAATACAGTATTTACTCGCGCAGAATCGTCCACCAGGGTACATGGACCACCACGCAGACCAAAAACAAAAAGAACAAGGAAAAGAAAGCCTCGGGACAGGACGACAGGCACCTGACAGGCCAGCGCTGGGGTATAAAGAAAAGGTTTCCCGAAACTACCGGGCTACCCAGGAGTTCGGCCCCCCACCGCGTCCTCCCTCCGGAACTCCGGCGCGGGCGACCACCCGGGTTGTCTCGGGCTAGCGAGAAACTTTACCCGAAATGAGGTCTGCAGCGCGAGGGAAGGCCCAGCCCCGGCGTCTAGGGAGGCGGCGGCAGCAACCCGCAGCACACCGGCCTCAGCCCTCCCCCCAGGCGACCCGCTGTGGGTCCGCTGGGGCTGAGAGCCGGCTCCGGATTTTTCCGTTCCTCTAAAAGACTTCCGCTTCCGGGTCGCATTTCTGGCGGCTGGTGTGAGTGACGTCGAAGTCCCGCGCCGGGGTGATTCCGGAAGAAGCGGACCGCGGCGTGGACATGGTGAGGAGAGCGTGCCCAAGGAGAGACTTGGCAGATCCCCTTTGCGGCGAGTAGGGAGGGCTCGGCGTTCGGCCGTATTTCCTTCTCCAATGGGAGATCTTACCTGTTAAGTTGCTCCGAATGGAGACTTTCAGCGAGCGGGAAGAGGTGGGTGTTTGAGGGAGGAGGTAAAGGGGATGGACAAAAGAAGGAAATTTACAAGATGAAATGTATTTCCCATCTTTTTAACTCTAAAATTTGTATTTCAAGGGGAAACAAAAGAAAACAAGAAAGTATGCGACCATGAAGCGAATGCTTAGTCTCAGAGATGAGAGACTGTGAGTTTCCGAAATCCGCGGGTTCTTAGGCTGCCTGCAGATAAGAGTCTCCAAGGGATAAATACTGAAGGCTTGTGTTATTTCGTTTTCGCCTATATTATTGTGGCTTAGGTTCAGATAGCATAATTAAATGTATACCTAGCTAAGCGATTACACTGGAAAAGGCGGTGGAAATTATTAAATGTTTACCTTTTTCTAGCCTTTGTGTATCGTCACATTTAATCCTCGTAACATTTATATGAGGTAGATATGATTGTCTTTGTGTTCTTATCATTACACTTGCACACCGCGTTGGGGAAAAGTGTTTCTCATTTTGGCCGTGTATTACTGAGCTCAGGGCCCCAGGTCAACTCTCACACAGAAGACTGAAAAGGCAGCTCTGAAAGTAGATTTTGAGCCTTCATATGAGACCTCCTGACAAAGAAATTATCATTAACAATTTTTTGGCCTATTAGTTTTACTGATTGTGTTATTTCTAACCGACTTCCCATTATGGTTGTTTGCTCAGAAAATATATGCCAGTATTAACATAAAGATGTCACAAAGTAAGATTTCCTCTGTAGGTTAAAAAGAAAATGAGAATTTTGAATGGAATTATATGTGATTTCCCCCCCCTCTGGATTTGCTTTCTCTTCCAGCAAAGAAAAGGATAGATTAAAACCTAAAAAGAAAGAAAAGAAAGATCCTAGTGCTCTAAAGGAAAGAGAAGTGTGAGTATTCAAAGTTTTCAAAGTTTCCTTAAAAGTATGAGACTTGTTCGAAAAGCATATACTTCTAAGAAATTCAGACTTTCAACTGGGTATGGTGGGACATACCTGTAAATCTTAGCAATCGGGAAGGCTAAGAACTCTTCTTCATTATTGATGGGAGTGTAAATTGGTACAACCACTACAGAAAGCAGGATGGAAATTCCTAAAAAAAAAAAAAACCACCTAAAACTAGAAGTTCCGTTTGACCCAAATGTTCTCTTCAAAAAGCAACATACCACAGTGATATATGCATGCCCATGTTTATAGCAGCCCATTTTTTTTTTTTTTTTTGGAACTGGGGATTGAACCCAGGCCCTTGCACTTGCCAGGGAAGCGCTTATTCCACTGAGCCATCTCCCAGGCCCAGCACAGTTTATGATAGCTACACTTATATATCTATTTAGAACAGGGTCTACGGGTCTTGCAGGCACATGCTGCCACACCCCATCTCAATTACCATCTCAGTGCGCCCTGGGGGCAGGGCCAGCATGGCACATTGGGGATTGAACCCCAGCTGCTGCGCTCTGCCTAAGGAGGCGCTTTAGTCTGCTGAGCTATTTGGCTGGCCCTTATAATAGCTAGATCTTGGAAAGAGCCCAAATGCCTAGCAAAAGATGATTGGATTAAGAAAGTGTATTTATATACAATAAAGTAGTATTCTGTAGGGGCCAGGGAGATGGCTCAGTGGAATAAGTGCTTTCCTGGCAAGCACAGGGTCCTGAGTGCAATCCTCGGTTCCACCAAAAGATAAAAATAAATAAAAAAAATAAAGACTTTGAAAAAGTAGTATTCTACTGTAAAGAAGGATAACTTTGAGTCATTTGTAGGTAAATGGACGCAACTTGAAACCATAATTTTAAGAAATAAATAAGGTACACAAGTTTAAATATCATTGTTTCTCTTGTGTGAGAAACCCTGTAGACGGAGCAAAATGGAGGATATACACTGGGAAGTAGAAAGAACACGTTCTGATGAGAGAGGAACAAGGGAAAGAGGGAAAGGAAAGAAAAGGGATAAAAAAGAATGGAAGAGGAAAAATGGAAGTAAAGCTTCTATAAATGGGAAGGGGAATGGTGAAGAAGAATTAAGATATGTTCTGTAGAGGTACAGATTCCTTATGATGAATGTGAATGTGATCATTGTGTGTGGCAAATATGTGCCAACAAAATTTTCCTTTTAAATAATTGCCATCACTTAACACACTAACATTCTTTCACTGAAAAAAATAGGAGTTGTATTTTCACAATAGAAGTCATTCTTTTAAATAAGCATAATTAAGTTTTACAAAAGCCTTGGGACACTTTTATTTTCTCTTTTTCTCCTGGATTGGTAGTAGCTATGCCATCACCTGTGGATTTTGGTCCATAATTAGCATGTGAACATCTTTGACTTAGATAAGAAGTGGGCCCTGCTGCAGTATGTAACCCTAACAGTGCACAGACTAGTCCCCATCACATTCTGTGCAACCCTTTTAGGAGTCTATGAGGGGGGAAACTCACCATAGTACCATTCTAATCATAGGGGCCATATTCTACTCATTTGTGCCCATTATGCTCTATTCCTGATTGCTTTTTTTGTTTTGAGACAAGGTCTTGCTATGCAGTTCAGGTTGGTCTTGAGCTCACTTTTTAGGCCAAGTGGCTCTAAAACTTTCAGTGATCTGCCTGCCTCAGCCTCATGAATGCTGGGATTGAATGCTGGAATTATAGGTTTATGTCACCACGCTCGCTTGGCTTCTGACTGCATTTTGAAAGTTGTGGCAAAGCATGCTAGTGGACCTGAGATTAAGATGTATTATTGCTTTTTTCCTTTTCTTCTTAGAATTTATCTTCAATGAACAGAAGAAAAGGAGCTTAATATAGGACTGGGGAGGTAGCTCAGTGGTCTAAGCACCTGTCTGGCAAGTACAAGGACTGGGTTTGATCCCTGGTACTGCATGCCATGTAAGGCCCGGAACCCTGGGTGTGCCATGTTGCCCCAAAACCAGGCGTGGTGGTGTAGGCCTGCAATCCCAGGACTAAGACAGGAGGATCACTATGAGTCTGAGCTGTGTAGTGAGACCCTATACAAATCAATCAATCAATAAATGAATTTTTAAAATTAATTTTAAAAAGCTTAATATATATTGAACTGTCCCAAGCAGAAACTTTTTTTTTTTTTTTTTTAATATCAAAGTATCAGTGTAGGGGCCGGGGAGATGGCTCAGTGCAAGGGCCTGAGTTCAATCCCCGGTTCCAAAAAAAAAGAATCAGCATAGACTTGACTTTGTATCTTTATTTTCTTCTTTCTTCAGCCCCCAGCATCCTTCCTGCTTATTCTTCCAGTATAATACACAGCTGGGCCCACCTTATCATATCCTGGTTGATACCAACTTCATCAACTTTTCCATCAAAGCCAAATTGGACTTGGTACAATCAATGATGGACTGTCTGTATGCCAAGTGTGAGTATCATATGTCCACATTTCTGTAACATTTGTGTAGGTTAATCATATCAATTTATGAAAAGAGGGAGATGGGGTCCCTTTAAATAAATTCTGGGGCAGGGGAGATAGTTCAGCAGCATAGACGCCTGCCTGACAAGTGCAGGGTCCCGAGTTCAGTCCCCAGTACTGCATGCCGTAAAGAATAAACTATGAACTAAATGGGGACAGTTTGCTCCTCCTGCTTTAATCTTACTGTATTGTGCTTGTTTTCCTGCGCTTCAGATACTCCACTTTATACAAATTGAGTTTGCGGCAGCCTGGAGCAAGCCTCAGAGCACCATTTCCCAACAGTGTGTGCGCACTTCATGTCTCTCACATTTTGGCAATTCCCATGATATCTCATTTTTTTAAAAAATTTTCTAATATTTTATTTTGTACAGAGACTCACTACACAGCACAGAATTGTAGTAATCTTCCTGTCTCAGCCTCCCCAGTGCTAGGATTACAGATGTGCACCACCACACCTGGTTTTGGTGGCCAGCTTGTCACTTCCAGAGTCCCAGGGCCAGCATTGCATGCGGTTCCGGGACTCAAACTAGGGTTCTTGCACTTGACAGCCAGGCACTTAGACTGCCAAGCTATCTCCAGCCCCTTTCCTTTCCTTTCTTTTTGAGACTTGGTCTTGCTATGTAGTTCAAGCTGTCCTCGTACTCATAGCAGCCTTCCTGACTCCACCTCCTGAGTGCTGGGATGACGGGCGTGCACCACCATGCCCAGGTTCTGTGCTTTGTCTTATTGTATAGATGAGGGTGCTTTCTTTCTTGGGTTGCTCTGTCTTGTGGCTGGCTCAGCCCAGCCTAGGGGCTGGACTGGCAAGGCGCGCGGTACCAAGGGTCAAACTGCGGTCGCTGCGCACTTGCCTAAGCAGGCACGTTAGGCCACTGATCTCTGTTGCTGCCCAAGTGATGGTGCTTTGTGATCAGTGATCTTAAATGTTACTATTATAATTTATGTTTTGGGGAACCATGAACTGTACCCCTATAAGATCGTAGGCTTAATAAATACGTGTGTGTTCTGGTTGTTCCTGATCTGCCATTTCCCATCTCCTTCCCTCTCCTCAGGGCACCTTATTCCCTGAAACAATAGCATTGAAATTAGATTAGTTAATAGCCCTACAGTGGCCTGTAGGTATGTAAGTAAAAGGAAGACTCATGCATTTCTCTATTTGAATTCTGCCTAAAATGATTAATGAGTGAGGCTTGTTGAAAGCTGATATAGGCTGAATGCCAGTCTTCTACCAAACATCCCACCTATAATACAAAGGAAATATTCACGAAGAAAGTAAAAGTGCTACTCCAGTGAAACTGAACTGCCACTGCGGCCAGGGAGAAAGTTTTAGTGGTCTATATGGAATATCAAACCAATTAGAGTATTCATACTTCTTTGAGCCAGTGCCTAATCCAGAGCAAAGCCCTAACTTCCTTCAATTCTATGAAGATTGTGAGAGGTGAGGAAGCAATAGAAGAAAAATGTGAAGCTAGAGGAAGTTGGTGTCATTTTAAGGACAGAAGTCGGGCTGGAGAGATGGCTCAGTGGTCTAAAGCACCTACTTGGAACAAGCTTGGCAAAGCACAGGGACCGCGGTTCAATCCCCCAGCACCACATGCCAGCCAGCCCCACCCCCTGGTGGGCTGAGCTGGCCACACACACACGCACACGCACACGCACACACACACACAATGAATAAATAAATAAATAATTTAAAAGGACAGAAGTCACTAAGCACACGCAAGTGTAAGCGCTACAGCAGGAGTAGAGCAGGTTCACTGGAAGAGCTAGGTGACATGGTTAATGAAAGTGGCAACATTAGGAAACAAAATTTCAGTGTTGACAAAACAAGTTGGGAAGATAGCTCTGTGGTGAGTACCTGCCTGGCAGGCACTAGGACCTAGGCTTGATCCCAGGTATGCATGCTGTGCCGGCCCCAGAAACCTGACCCTGTACCAAAAAAAGATTTTAAAAAAGAGCCTTCTATTGGGAGAAGATACCATCTCAGACTTCCACGGGTGGAGAAGAGCAGTCAGTGCTCTGCTTCAAAGGTTTACAGGACAGATTGTCTCTTGCAGGGGCTAATGCAGCTGGTGACGTAAAGTTGATGCCAGTGCTCATTTTCCATTCCAAAAAATCTTTTTGTAAAGGGCCTGGAAATGTCTGTTTATTTATTTATTAGTATTTATTGTAGCCCCAGCTGGCCTTGAAATTACAGCGCTCCTCCCGCCTCAGTGCTGGGATTACTGGTGTGTGCCGCCACACCCAGCCTCCAAAAATCTTAAGACTCTATAAAGAGTCCACTGAATTTACTCTTCCTGTGTTCTGAGTGGAATGACAAAACGTGGTTAAGAACATGTTTGTTTACAGTGATTGTTGATTTTTTTTGAGGAATTGGACACCAAATCAGAACCTCGTACATGTTAAACACTTGCTCTACCACTAAGTCACATCCCAAACTCTTTCTGTTTTGAAATAGTCTCTTAAAGTTGCACAGCCTGACCACAGATTTAGGAACCTGCCTCAACCTCTGGAGCAGCTGTAATTACAGGCATGTTCTGCTATTCTCAGAGATTTGCTGAATATTTTAAGCTTCCCCAACTGCTTAGGAGAAGGAACTTCTTCAAAATATTGCCGTTTATTGACAATGCATCTTGTCACCCAAGAGATTGGTAGAGATGTGTAGTAAGGCGAATGTTTTCATCCCTGTTGGCACAACATCCACTCGGGTGCATGGATCAAGGAGTAATTTTTTTTAAACATATATTTTAGTACAGAATCTATAGGGTTGGGCTGGTGAGATGGCTCAGTGGTCTAAAGCACCTACTTAGAACAAGCTTAGCAAAGCACAGGGACCGCGGTTCAATCCCCCAGCACCA